GCGTGCTAGACACGTTCCAAACGCAGGGGTAGGGCAGTTCTGGTCCAAAAAAGCAAAGTACCTAACAAATTAGCTTCAGGAAATAAAGATCTAAACATGGCAGTGGCCAAACTCAAGAACTTGGATCTGTGTAAGAACATACTGGAGAAGCGTCTAAGGCTGCAAGGCTAGAACTTAAAATACTCCTACCAATAAGGTTTATTGAAGATTTCCCTCCAGTTACTTTGTTTCAAGCCATCCCCCCAACATACCTGCTACCACCTTATCTTTTGGCACAGAACGTTGCTCCTTCCTTCTGTTGTCTGAACTGCTAAATAGAATATTTAACTCCCGATGACTTGCATTTCATCCCTCAAGGGGTGCATTTTCATTCTAACAGAATTCAATATAACTTGGAATAGATTTGTGTGTGACGAATTCTGATTACTCCAGCAACTGAAGCTTATATAAATCAATTGATCTGCCTTTCCAGAAAGGTAGCATTAATCAACAAGATTCCCACGTAATCACACACTGTTTGCAGTCAGACTCAATACATACAGAGCGGTCAAGTCTCATATATAGTGGTAAGAAATGGCAGGGCCAAGATATTTCAAGTGATCACTTCTTGAACAAAACGCTGCACCATTACAAATCCATGGATTAAAGAGTAGAGGTTGGAGGGGAAGCAAGAGGATTCAGAGCTGTGAATTATAGGTCAGACAAGCCTGGGCTCAAACAAAGGAGATGAAGTGATCTCAGTTATAAGATACCTACAAAGGAATTCAATTATGCAAGTCAGCATACAGAACATCCTGCACTCATCTTAATAGTGACTTGATTAGCCTCTTATGGTCCAGTCTAATCAAATATTTACACCTAAGTAGATGTCTTTTTCACAGTTAAGATGGACAACAAAATTTTCAAAAGTATCTTAGTCACCTAGTCTAAGTCCCATTGGATTTTTGTTCCTTTTTTTAGTTCCTAAATTACTTCTGAAAAATGGGACTAGGCACTTGTGAAAATTTTGCCTGCAATCTAATCAGTCTCAAAATATATTATTTTGAAGGCAAACCTTTCCCATCAGTATGTTCACATTACCTGAGCTCAGTATTTGGTTAACTGAACGCTCCCATATAAATGGTAAATAAGGAAACGAAATAAGTTTCCGCCAAATCTCCGTTTTGTAACCATACAATACAGCAGCACCTTGCAAAATTCTATTTGCTGCAGCAAGGAATTATGACAAGCAACTGAAGACTTTTTCCATTAAAAATCATCAAAGCAAAACAATCATCATCTAGCAGGTGGATTTTATGCCTGGGCCGGTATTTTTGCAAGGCTAGCACAGCACATCAGGAACATCATTGTATTAAAGTCCGGGCTACTTCTGCCAGTGGGGAAGTCATTTTTAACAAAAAAAACAAACAAACACAACAACAAAAAATCTTTTGCATAATCCAGCATTTTAGACATCAGTTTTTAACATCTATGTTATTTGTTTACCCTGTTTGAGAAGAAAAGGTTTAACAAGTGTGTTCATATAACAATAGTCCAACAACTCTTTAAATTTAGAAATTTATTTTGTTTAATCCACAAGCTTTATATAGCTTTAGTTAAAAAAACAGAAAAACAGTGAAAACATGACAATATCCAAAGTTCAGGTCCTTCGGGCTTTCAAAGACATCATCTCTGAAAGTTACGTATACCATTAAGAAGAACCGCAACCAGACAAGAATCATGAATGGGGCTACAACATCTTTTCACAAACAAAATTTATGTAAGTGTGGAACTTCTCTGGGACTGCTGATAAGGAAACTGCCCTTTTAAAAAAAAGAACAAAAATACAAATGAAATTCCAGTGTTCCAAATCATCTTATTACATCAATATAAACCCACAGTGTCCTGGCAAACGACATGCTTTCATTTACATACCATTCTAGATTTCTGTTCTTGATTCACTTTAGTGGCAACTACACAGGTAACAATAGAGCGATTATGGCATTAAAATATCATATGTACTTCCCTTGCAACTGAAGTGGTTTCATTTCTGGGCAAGCTTATAAATCACAAAGGTTAGTAGCAATGTAAGTGGATAAAAAAAAAGAGAACTTCGTAAAAAATTGTATAGGTTTCGGTACATTTTAAAGAAACTGAGGTTGCCAGTCATTTTTAAAAACCTTGACCCATCTTACTGCTTCTAAAAAGTTTCACTCTACTGTCAATGAAAGAATGTCACTAGTACACTGTGGATGTTTTTTGTAATGTAAATCCATGCCTTTTTTACATGGTGAACCTCAACCTAGCAATTATTACAACAAATGTTATATTCTAAAGCTCAAACACATTTTAGCAATTTGAAATTGAATTCTGAGTACAAACCAAATAAAATGTACATTATATCAAAGGTTTCAGCCTAAGATGGTGGTGACACTTGTGCCTTCCTCATCGACCTCAGTGCCTTCTCTCGCAGATGTTTTTCTAAATCATCCAGGTTATCTTCTGCTTCGCTCTCTGTCTCCTTAAAACAAAGATACAGAAGTGATTATTTCTGCAGGCATGAAGAGCTAGACCAGGTAATAGCCATTCTGATACCGCAATATGGCAAATGTAAAATCGTGGGATGCAAAGTTGCTACATTTCTGGAAGGGTAGAATACAGGAAGGCAAATATTTGATTAATGTGATATGCTGATGAGACACGTGGGAGAAAACAGGCATGAGGGTGTAGTAAAAGGTGGTCCCTATAAAAAAGGTGGTTTACGATGGGTAGGCCAGGAGTGCACCCAGCTTCACATTCTTCTTGCTGAAGTGATGGCGACTAGGAACAAAGTTTTAAAGGAAGGGTAGAGAAGAGAACAGGTGACCATCGGTTCTAAGGGGGATCTCCTTAGAACATTAGGTCCCACTGGGGGTTGGGGGTCAGACAGGAGGATGCAAATTGTACAGACCTTTGAGGAATCTGGCTGTGACAAGCGGGCAAAAACCGAGAACCCCTGCATGGGAAGTGGAAAGCTGTGATAGTAGCCAAATGTACCCTAAGAGCTCACTGACAGACCTCTCGCTTTTAATTTTAGTATCTAGCCCACTATCTTGAGAAGGGGAACTTCCAAGGCTTGGGAAGATGGAAAAAAAGCACCAAGAGTGAAAGCATTTCCACTTCTGGAGTTAAGTCTTGTGGGTAAACGGGCTTTCAGCTGGACAAAAGAACTGACTAAACTGCATCTAAACAGGTCAATTCCACGGTTGAGAGCCATTCAGCAGCTACGCCGAGGTTCAGAGAGGAAGGGTTGGGGTGGATGAGGGACCCCAAGTTCTATCTCAATCGGTCCTCAGTGGTAGGAAGTCACAGGGGTGCCCCTCAGAGGTGGATGAGGTTTGAGTACCGCACCGGCCTTGGCCAGGCTAGTGCTATAAGAATAGCTCTAATTCTTTCCATATGTAGCTTGAGAAGAGTTGTGAGGATTAATGGTACCTGTGGGTAAAGCATACAGTAGGGCATGAGGCCAAGGAGATATCAGTGCATCTCCCATAGAACTGAGGCCATAAACTCCCCTTGAGCAAAACAGGTGACATTTGGAGTTGGTCAGGGTGCTGAAGAGATTTACTTGTGGTAGACCCCAGGTTTGCAAAAGAGTTTGAGCTCCCATTCGCCATCTTGCCAGAAAGCGTCTGCTCAGGAAGTCTGTAGTTGTAACAGATGCTTTTCTGTTAGGAAGGGGAGCTCATTTGCAGGGAAATACAGCTCAGGACAAATGGTCTCTGCAAAAACTGATGCTTCAGATCAACATTCTGGAACTGACCGCAGTTTGAAACAGATGCCGGTATTTCCTCCATGACAGACCAACCACTGATGTGGCTTTTCGATGGGAAATACTGTGTGCACAAGGACTAGGCTATTGCTCTGCTCTGGCACTTGATGTACATCTCTGCCCTGTTGTCTAGCATTACCCTGACCGAGTGGCTTGTATGTCATGGTCATATGTGAGCCTAACTGCAGCACCGAGATTAGGCCAGACAAGGTGTGAAATCGCTCAATGGGAAGGTAGGCTTTTGCTACTGTAGAGTCCAAAACAGCTCCTGTGAAGTTTATCTTAGCAATTGGAACAAGCTTAATGCCTTTGTTGTAGCTGTGTGGACCTCAGTATGATTCACCCAGATCAACATGTTGTCCAAATCTGGGGATACGGAGATCTCCCATGGACAGACGGAAGCTGCCACTACCGAAAGGACCTTTCCCAACACCCTTGGAGATATAGAGAGTTTGAAAGGAAGAACTCAGTATTGATAGTGGTCTGTTCCTATTACAAAGCACAGGAAATGCTTGTGCAATGAGTGGATGGCTATATGAAAGTAGGTGCCTTGTTGGTCAAGGGTAACAAACCAGTCTTCTGGATCAAAGGGTGGGAGAATTTGAACTCGTGTCACCATTCTGAAGTGTTGTGCTAAAAAAAATAGTAGTTCAAGTTCCTGAGGTTGACAATCAGTCTCCACCCTCCATTTCCCTTGGAAACCAAGTAGCTGGAATAGAATCCTTTCCCAATGAACTCTGTTGAAACCCGCTGTACTGCCCAAGAAGGAGGGGGGACAGAACCTTTTGCCTTAAGAGCTTTTTGTGTGAGGGGTCCCTGAAGAGGGATAGGGAGGAATAGAGTGGAAGTGGACAGAGTAATCCACTCTAAGGACTTCCAGTATCCACTTGTCTGAGATAAGGAGTTCCCATGCAGGTAAATAGTGGGACAGTCAATCTTAATAATAAAAAAAATAAAGCAGGGGGGAGAGGAAGAGAATTGCACAATGGGGAAATCCAGTGAACTGGGATGATTTATGCCCTCAGTCAAGGTGTCAAAAGTGCTTTTTAGAAGGAGGGAGCCAATTAAGAAGAAGGGGTCAGTAGTCTCTCTCAGCTTGCTCCTTCTCCTGAAGGCCTACTCAGATATAGGGAGGGTGGACTGCTGATGGTACTGGAATGGCCTAGATCTCTGGGCAGGCTGTGTAAACTAAGTTGTCTTTTTATTGCAGGCACGCAGAGAGTGCCAGTGAATGCAGCGTAGCCCTGGAATCCCTGAGAGCGTGGAGAGAGGAGTCCATATGATCACTGAAGAGCTTGAGTCCTTCAAAGGAAAGATCCTCGACTGTGGACTGTACTTCTCTTGGAAGACCTAAGGGCTGGAGCCAGGAAACTCTTCTCACGATCACTGCCATGAATCTTAACACTCTGTCAGCAGCATCTAGGGCAGCTTGGAGGGAGGTTTTTGTGACCAACTGCCCCCCTGCAATGCTGGACTGAAACTGGCCTCTCTGATCTTGTGGCACATATTCAGTTAAGTGTGTAAATAATGAATACACGGTAAATGCGTCATTCACCATCAAGGCCTGATAATTAGCAACAGAAAACTGAAGAGCAGCTGATGAACAGCTCTTCTGCCCAGTAAGTCCAGACTCTTGGATTCCCTGTCTATTGGAGAGGGTCTAAACTGAGCTTGTGGCACCTTCCACTGGCTGCATAAACCACTATGGAGTTATGGATTGGGGGGAGGAGGGGAAGTGTTCCATCCTCTTTGATGGGATGTAGTACTTTGTGTTAGATCTCTTACAGGTGGGTGGAACTGTGGTTGGCGTTTGACACAGTGTACATGTAGGGGACAGTAATGACTCACTAATGAGTAAAGCAACCTTCCCTTGGGGACACCGTCTCAAACCACAGGCAGTTGAGAAGGAACTCAGTGGTGGTGGGTTCGCACCTGTCTATATTCCCTAGTTCAGAGCAGAAGGTGTTGTTCTGCGCAGGACTGTGAGCACTGCTTTACAATCTCCAATCAAGAGCGTGCAGGCACATGCACATCCTACAGTGGAGTACCAATAGGTACATATACTTGAAGAACTAGAGATGATCATTCAGAAATGTCAAAAGCAGAGGTTTTATACATTAGAAATTTTACCTAGGTTATATACACTTGGGTACCATTTCTACTATAACTTCATACAAATATAGCACAGAATGTCTCTAGTTTTCTGCCTGCATCTAACAAGCAGTCACATCATACAGAAGGCTGAAATACAACAAAATAGATTTTTAGCAAAAATACAATTTCATTTGCCCCATGAGATTTGCTATTTGGTGTGGATTTTTTAAAGGGACATTCAAACGTAAGTTTGTATATTTACAATATGATTTTAACATGTCAGGTTGCTGAAACAAAAAATTATAAATACCCACTACTTATGCCATTTGTGTACTTTCCATTTTTCTCTCAGTGTGGACAAGTCAATCCTGCATTCAGGATCTCAGTACTTCAAAACCTGGGTTGCAAACTTGGCATGAAATATTTATAATTGTAGTGAATACTGTTGTAAAAGCATTAATGGAAAAATCTCTATGGGTCTGTAGATTTTTAGTTCTTTGTATATTTCACTTTAAAAAAATATCAATTTAATAGTTACATTTAAAATAAAATGAAAGCTTGATGTTAGCTTGCCATGGATGTATTTCACTGTACAAAGTGGGTCTTTTTTTTTTTTTTTTTTTTTAACACTGTTGCTCAAAAGTGTTACCTATTTACCACTTTGTAGAAATGGAAAGGCAATGTAGACAATGCTCATTAATAGCCTCTCAGAAGCAGAAAATGGAACTGATTCTTGGGAGGGGGATGATGGAAAGGAAGAGAAATGGAGGTAGCTAACCTCTAACTGGAGTTACTCCAGTGGCCTCTGCCACCCCAAGAAGGGAACATGCAGAGGCGACTTGAACTACATTTTATAATTTACCCGGTTGTAGCACAATTCAAGCCCTGCCTTCAAATATATTGGAGTTAGAGGAGATATTTTCAAAATCATACATTAGTATCAATTACGCTTGCAAATATGTTCTCTCATTTCACTCTTTGGCTTTTGAAATCAGATTTATTTAGCCAACCTTTTTGGGCTCGGTCTCTGCTTCTGGGTCTTCCTGGGCTGATGAAGTAGCAGCTGAAGTAGCAGCAGCCGCTGCTGCAGCAGCCGCAGCCTTCTCTTTCTTGTGTTTTTTGTGTTTCTTGTGCTTTTTGTCCTTTTTATGCTTCTTATCTTTCTTCTTCTTCTTCTTCTTCCCGCCACCTTCCTGGTCAGAATTCTGTAATGAAAAGAAATTCCTTATTTCACAGTTGGAGCTAGGTAGGCCAGATTTGTGTCTAGGGTGATGATGCACAAACAAACCCTCTCTCCTTACAAAGATCACGTGGCCTAGATGTTAAGCACATTTGCTGAATAACCCGTGTGTGTGTGTTTGCCTATGGAGCGGCTATTGCCATCCCATCATTTAAAAGGAATTGCACTTAAATACACTAGTAAATGAGCTAGAATTGTTTGATCATCATAAGCAAAACTAGGTAAGAGCAATATGCCACATGATGAAAGTTCTGTAGGTATATTCCAATTAAGTACTACTAGGATTAGAAAACATACCCTTGCAGGGGATGGACTCTGCGTAGGACTTTGAGCCTTTTTCACATGTGGCGGCGACCAGTTAGTGGAGGGGGATCGAGACCCAGTAGGGGATGGAGGTGCTTGGTGTTTCTTAGGTGCTGGCTCAGGCGATCCTGATGCAGACCTGGATGAAGACACCCTTCTCACAGACTGTGGACTTGGTGTGGAAGCCCTTAAAAAGAAAAGATTAACATTTAGGACTCCTTGTGCCTTATACAGTACGTGCAAACAAGGTAACTTTATTATTATGTAACTAACCATGGTGTCACAGTGTAGGTCTACACTGCAATTAGACACCAGTGTCTGGCCTGTACCAACTGACTCTGGCTAAGGGGCTGTTTAATTGAGGTACAGATGTCTAGGCTCAGAGTCCCAGAGCCTGGACTCCAGCCCAAATGTCTACATTGCAATTAAACAGCCCCTTAGCCTGAGTCAGCCGACACAGGCCAGCCACTGGTGTTTAACTGCAGTGCAGATGTACCCTTAGAGTTCCTGCTGATCTACAAATCTGTTCATATTAATCCCTTTACTATGGAGCTAAATTCTATACATTTAGACCGGAATTTCTTCAAAAGAATGACAGTAAAAGGAAAAGCCAAGATCTAACTACGCACTGCAGATTGGCAAGCCAAAAAGATACTGTAGGTTTACTACATATTAGTATCTTGGACAGACAATAGTGTTCTCCTGTTCATGAGTGGCTGTCTTCTCTTCACATCTGATAAAAATTCAACATGGCACAGCTACTGTTTTATCATCAGTTCAGACAGGATATTGCATGCAGCTACCTACCTTTCCTGAAAGAGCGGATTAAGCCAGCACTGCCATACTTTCACTAGATGTTCAGGTAGATCTCCCAATATTAAAAGCTTGTCAAATATTCATTTAATAAGAATGTGTCTTGGGTTAGCCCTGTTCCATAGTGAACTTTGACACACAGTTCACTAGGCTCTAAACAAAAGCTACAAATCCCTTTGAAGTCTTATTTTGTAATCTGCTCCGGTTTCACAACTATCAGTGTTTGAAGTTTGCCTCTATTCTGCCTTCTCACTATCACACTTTGTCCAAGATGAACCTTTGTAGTGCCTCTGAAGCTATTCCCAATCTTGAATTTTCATATGACAGGAAATGCCTCTAACAGTCATTTCTGAAAAGCCATGTTATAGAAGTTAGCAGAATGAAAGCAGCATGTCAACAGGCCCACAGGAACTAGGGTGGCATGAAGGCAGAATACTGACACCCTTTAATTTTAGTGCAAACCCTTGCTTTATCTATTCCCATTTGCCTGTAGCTATAAGTTAATAAGTCCCTTACTTTGTCTTTTTGGGTTCCGGGGTCCTTGACACTCTCCTGATGGGTCTACTGCTTGGAGACGGAGACTGTCTCCGTTTGGGTGAAGATGAAGTTCCCCTTCGCAGAGGCGGTGGACTTGCAGAAGTATGTGAAGCTCTAGGCCGTGGAGATGGTGAATGCCGTTTGTTTTGTAGAGGAGATCGGGTTTCACGATTAGACCTGCTGGTAGGAGAACTTTTCCTATGCTTGGAAGATATCGATGGGGAACGCCTCTTTGCCACGGGAGAACTTCTTTGTTTTGGTGGGGGAGAATGCGAGACTCTGCGCTTGGGTTGTGGAGAAGGTGATGCCCTTCGTTTTGGAGGAGGAGGGGGAGTTGCTGTTCTTCGTTTAGGAGGTGGGGAAGGAGAGTATCGTCTCTGTATTGGAGGAGAATATCGTCTGGGAGTAGGTGAGCGCCTGCGTGGAGGTGGTGATGGAGACCTACAAAACCAACAGAAAGAATTTGAAACGTCATGTATACAGGACAAAGCTCTCACACTAGTTAGCTGCCAATGGCTAAAGATACACACTTTGGCAAAGAGGAAAGATTTTACACTGATGTGTTCCACTTTTAAAATTCTTACAGCAATCTCAAGGAACTACAGCAGAGTATTACCATATACCCTGCCCAATAGCCATTTCAATATTAGATAAGTGAAATGATTGCTTGCTACACTCAGCCCTTCAATGGTTCAACAATTGAACACATCCCCCACCGAAAACGTTTCAGAAAACAAAATTATGATTTTAATTAATAAAATAAAGGTTTCCCAACAAGAGACTTATTGGCAAAGGGCATCAGTTCCATTAATCATGACATTTGCTTTTTATTGGACAGTGTAACAACTCTTGATTTGCAGAACTGCCCTTAGGGATTAATAAAAAGCAATAGAATAAAACAGTTACCTTCGGCGAGGCAATGAAGGCGATCTGCGCCGCCTTGGAGGAGGGGCAGGAGAAGGAGAGCGCCGTCTTCTGGCAGGTGGTGGTGATGGACTCCTCCTCCTCCTACTAGAGGAAACAGAAGAGTTGCTTTATTAAAAAAACACCTCATGCCAAATGCTTACATTTTTTTCTGCCATGTCATCTCCACTACATAAAGCTAAGCTGGTTCAGATACTTCGTCTTCCAAATGAGATTCCATTAGATGCAAACACTATCAGACAGTGATTATGTCCAAGAGACAAAAAAGATATAGCAAAGTTTGTTTTCTCTGAGTGTATGGGATATAGAAGCGATAAGGAGTCTTCAACCTTACCACATTTCAGTTTTCCAAGGAAAAGAAATTCTTAAAGCTCACTAGACCAAGGAGATATTTATCACCCTAGTGGGGATATATCTTAATGGCTGCTGACTTCAGGTAGACAAACAGAAATTGATTCTAAGCAGACTTACTCTTTACCACTGGTAGATTTTAACACTTCACCGAGAGCACAGGCTAAGAAAACCAGAGTTGGTGCTAAGATACTGCTATACTGCATTTAAAATATTCAGAGCACAGGGGGTCCAGACACTACTCCCACCGAAGACAAAAATTTGCAGTTAACTTATATAAGGAAATTTGGACCTAATGTGTTTCTCCATAACTTCTGAAAAGCTCAACGGGTTTAAATTCTGTGAGGGGGGAAAAAAAATGTAGCTTTTTAGTGACAATATACAAAACTTAGTGACAAAAGATTAAATATCTTTTTTGCTTTTTAAAGGCTGCCCTGCACTTTTAGTCAATAGAAACAGTCAGCTAATTAATATTTAATTCCAAATAGCCTTGCTATATTTTTCCATAGCAAGAAACTAGATTTGCAGCTAAAGATTGTTCCTCAAGAGCTAAACACGATTTTGTGAACTGAAAAAATACCAGGTCATCTTCAAATATCACAATAAGACCCACTAAAAATATTCAGTAATAATAGTTTTCATATTAAATGAATAAGGTAACAGACTAGGAGAAAATGTGTTACACATTGATATAGAAGGATTTAGCTGAATTTATTCTTTTGTAAAGTAAAGTATGCTGTCCTGAAATTCAAGTAAAACAACTGTTATATGCCACTTTTTGAAGACTGACTAATTCAGTAATAAATGTGCTCAAAGTTTGAGGAAGTTAGTCACATTTCATCTGGCTCAAATTTAGCAAATCATATGTGGCACCTATGTTCTGGTTAGGTTTTAATCATTATAGATTATTCACACCAGTCATTAAGTCTGAATGATTAATCTCATAGATCCAGCCTCTTAAGTTTAAAATTAGCACTTTTCCTAATAGTAGTGAAGCACCTACTCTTATTTTCAGCTGACTTCAATGAGCAGTCTAGTGGCAGAGACCATGATAGAATCTGATATTCTGGACATATCTTTGCCAAGTCATCAATGGCTTTCTGCATTATATTAAGCTCAGTCTAAATTCAAGTTTCTAAGGAACTGCCTATAAAGCTACCTATGAAAGGTAAGATTTGTGACAAAATGATGAAGCACTCAGCCTGTGAAGTTTGCAGGAGCTGTTAACTTCAGTCCCACTACTAAATCAGATTGTTCCAGGACACACAGTGAATATGTATGTAAA